AATAAAGCTGACTTTGACTTTGAGAGGGTCACGAAATCTCCACAGGAGCTCCTCAGCATTAGAAAATCCTAAACCAATTAGTGCTGATAAATATAGTCCTACAATAATCTTATAAGGATGGATGTTTGACTACAAGGAACAAACACTGATTAGTAATGGATGTCTGGCTGTGCTCCACTGCTCTGGGACAGGATAGCGAACAGACCTGTTTATCTACATATCAACAGAACAGCACCTTACAAAGAACCCCCCCGCCCAGCCATAATGAAATAAAAAATGGTTCTGGATAGGGTTGGGGGAAGAGGGGTTTATGCAAGTTGTGGAAAGATACTGGTTACAACACTCTTCAGAATTACGCAATCCATTATTGTGATTATTAATTGATCTGCTGAGTAAGTTTTCAATTAATCAATCAATCAAACATGCTCAAATGTCTCGTTTTGTCCAACCAACAGTCCCAAATCATCAAATAAGACAAAGGAAAGCAGCAAATCTTCACATGAGAGGAGTTGGAACCAGCAACTGTACAAATAATCGATAAAGGAAATAGTTGTCGATTATCAAATTTTCTGTTACAAGTCAATAATTGATTAATTGACAGGCCATTCTAGCTCTACTTTGACTTGACTTACAAAAAGTAATGTAAAAGGCATTTGATTGAGAGATATAAAAGGTGTTCTCTTTACAGAAGAGATGTTTGTCTAAAATGATCATTAAACATACAATGTGTAATTTCTGCCTCAGGTCTCTCACATCAAAATAACAACAAAAGACAAGGACTGATGACATTGTGAAGTAACATAGTATCATGGGAGTTTTCACCACCACAGTTAAGATTACTTTAGTGTTCATTGTTCAGGAGGTTTCTACCTGGGCCCAATTATGCACAGAGGTCTCCTCCTCTCTAAAATAAATGGACCTGCTGATTAAAACCGCTAAAAATACTGAATAAAGCAATTCCGCCTTAAAAATCACTGTTTCTCTGATACGGTTGGGCAGACAAAGGACGTCCTGGAGCTGCTGCTAACATTTGCTCAGCTTGTTTCTCTAACTACTTAAGAGCCAGACTAAAATCCTTCATACGGTTCAAATATAGAGGTAATAATGTGGCTTAAAACTGGATAAAAAGTCAATGTATGACAGCTTCTGGCCGACAACCACAACACTGACGCATGCTCAAAGGGTATATGACATACATTTAGAAAGTCAGAAAGTATGCAGCCAACAAGTGAACTCCAGGATTAAGGAATAAAACGTGTAAAATGAACCTTACCTGAACTCAGAGCAGCCTACACTGTCATGCCTGCCTTTCAATACTGTAGTAAGTTGAGCTTTGCTGACAAGAGGAGCTGATAGTGAACAGTGAGGGAGGATGGGCAGGGGGAGGGAACTGTTGCTCCTCTCACAAACTGTACCAGCTGAAACTCTATTCTTCTTAAACCCCCTCCTCCCTCCGTCAGACAACGTGGAGCTGACTGGTAGGATCATACAACCTGCGACAGGAACCAACTGGGACATCAGACAGTGGACCATCCGGCAAATGGTTCACATGACTACACTGTGGAAAAACAATGAGGGCTGTCTTAGTGTGCTCACACTAAATACTATTTACTTTGAACTGACACAGACCGCAGGTGGTGCAGCTGTCTGTAGCTCTCATGCCTCAGATACTTATGTGAAGCTTTGAAGTTAGCTTATACCGAACTACCGGCTAGTTCAGTTAAAACACAGGACATCATGGATGTTAAATGCAGCAGGGACGCAGCCAGTGTTTTGTCGACCCTATAATGATTTCTGAGCATCAGGACATTGCAGAATGTCTTAATATCAAGCAAGCTAAGAGCTGACAGTTGCAGTTAGCTTAGCTTAGCTTAGCAGGGAAGGTTTTTTCATTTATCAACCGTACTAATCGAAGACATGGTTGTATCAGCCGGAGCAAGTCTCACTCACCTCTCACATGTCGTTCTGAATCTGTCGATGCGGCGTGCATCTTAAAGGAAATGAGGTTCACATCAAGCTGCAGCACTGATCGGCTAGCCAGCAAGCTAGCTAGCTAACGTTTGCTAGTCGAGCCACCGTTGTTTCTTTTGGTGTGACATTCACAGAACATCTCTGTGTCGGTACACAGCAGACCCAGTGTTGCTTGCACCTCCACCTATTCTTTCCATTGTTCCCCCGGCTTCGCTCATTTATCAAACACTAGTAGCTGCTAATGTTAGCAGGCTAACAGTGTTTGCTCTGCTACAAATGTTCCACTGCCACCGGCTTGTGTATCCACAATGACAGTTTGCAGCCTTTCAGTCCTTTCCTCTGCCCTGGTTCAGGTTCTCGTACTACAGCAGGGTAGGTTACAGGCTGCCCCTATGATGTATGACGACGGCATTTTTCATTTAGCAATATAAAACTACACTTCCGGATGATTCACTCCTTTAGGACCGAGTTGACCCGACCCGCAGTCCTACCCGAACAATTTAATTATCTATAAAACGGTAAAAAATACAAAAGCGGTCACATAATAATAATAATGACAATAACAATAATACAATAAAATAAAACAATTTATAAGCTGCAGTATGTAACATGTACCATGTAATAATACAAATAAGTTTTTGTCATATTTGCTTAAACCTTCACTTTTTGCTGACAGTAGCACATGAGACAGATAATCTGTGAAAAAAGCAGGTTCCTCTGGCTCCTCCTAGTTCTTCTAATGGCATTTGCAAGAATCTATTGGCCTTAACAAAAACAACCAATCAGAGCAGAAGAAGACAGAATGAGCTTTGGGTCAGTGGCTTGAAGATAGTTGATCTTGATTCTCATTCCCAGCATCAATATTTGACGACCTGAGAATGAGAAAAC